TTTCAGCCCTGTCTGTAATACAAAACTCTATCAAAATCAAACGCGCGATTACATGACAAAAGTTTCAACCCAGGGCTGATTTCAACCCCGGGGTTGAACTCAGCCCTGTGTTGAAAATTTTGTCATGTAATCGTTTTAACCCAGGGCTGAAATTATCATGACTTATTCGAGCATACGTGGTAGTGACTGTTTATTACAAGAAAACAAAATACAGGCATTTTTTCCTTCCACGAATCGATGCCGAGAACGTATAGTATAACGTTTCAACCCCGGGGTTGAAATCGTCCATGTAATCGCAAAAAAATTCAACCCGGTTAACAGGGCTGAGTTCAACCCCGGGGTTGAAAATGCTCCATGTAATCGGCCCCAAAGTGTATTGAACCACCTTAATCGACTGTCCAAGCTATTTCACACAAATGGTGAGCATTAGTGAAATTTTTTAAATGCAGCATCAAAATGAATAAATGCCATGCACTTAAAAGCATGCAATTTGACATGATACTGCCAAAAGAATTAACTGACATTTTTGTTTTATTTTAACTTATAAAAACTTTAAAAAAAGGTTACCTGAGGGTGACTCTGCCTCTTGAATTATGACATCATTCAATGAACCTTCCTCGTCATTTAGATCTAAATATTTTATTTTAATAAAAAACCTCCAAGTAAATAAATTGTATCAAGTATTGTGTAACTTTATCAATTGTCTTTGTTTTCTTTCTAAGAAAACGTGAAATGAACAAACAAAACAACTTCTTAATTGAAAACAAAACAATTGAAGACAAAACAGATCAATAACTGCATACTATAATTCTGTCTTTTTTTCTACCGAGGTGATTAAAATACGCTCGACAAAGCAGTTAATGCATGCACCAGGGACAATAATTATTAACACTATTGAGCAACAATGAATTTATAATTGCCAAAAGAGGCAACTACAAACTCTACAACATCACCCAGCAGGTTACCTATAATTTCATCAGAAATTCATTCCAAAATATTTAGTCTTCTGTGTATTCGGCTAAGATAGAAAATAATACAAATTTAATGTTCACCTTCAGAATCACAATCTCCATTATAACCACTTGAACAAGAATTTGAATCATCATCGGAATCGGAACTAACCGGATCTAAAAAAATAATATCATTAGAAAATGAGAAGTAGTTATTTTTGAAAATGTTGTGTCAGAGCCGAAAGTACGTGATGAGATGTATATCTGGCCATGATTAATCCAGTAGTATCGCTGGATTAACTTATTTACGCATGTTCTTACAAATTATACTGCTTTTATGCAAATCCCGAATAATTTCACAAACTCAAAGTTCTACCTTTCGACGGGGAAAATAGATGCAGGTTTATTTAAAACGGAGAAGAAAGTAGTGCTTTCAAATATAGATAATGTCGTTATTCTTATTTATTCGATTTTAACAGTGACTTCGAAACGTTGCTTCATAATGTCGTTCATTCTCGTACCCAGAGCCCTTCTTACGCGCGGTCAACCGAGCGCGACGAGGGGCTCTGGCCAAATCCATATCAAACTGGCATCTGATTGGCCACAACGAAATATGTGGTTTATTGTAAATATGAATAAAAATACACAAGCGCTCCATGAAGCGTTGGTTTCGCTTTGGAGAAAATTGGGAGAAAAGACATTATTAAAGTTGAAAGAACAGCAGTACGAAGCAGTTAGGAAGATTGTTGTTGATAATCGCCCACAAAAGCGGTAGATTTCGCTAATTTTATTTATTTAAATCAATTAGTTGATTGAAATTAATATAGGTTGAGACGTGATGTTCTAGCTCACAGCAAAAAGTCAACATATCTATGGCAGATGCAAGTCGTATTCTCAAATCAGTGATGTTAATTAATTAAACAAATCTGTGTTACATGTTCAAAGCTGAAGTGCCATCTGAAGAGAAAATAAGCCAGCCAGAATATGAAGTTTGTGATGACTATTTTCTTCTTAGAAACCGATTTTTTACAATTTTCAAAGGATTTGCAGTATAGTATGTCTTATGTATGACTGTTGACTTTTAATGAAACAAAAAAATAGTCTAAAAATCCGTACAACAGCGACTTAAAATCGAATATAAAATAGTGAGACAATCTCTCGTCTTCGTATCCGTTACTAGCCATTACTGCTTTGGCAACGTTTGAGAGGGAAATATATACTAAATTTTATCAACATGCATTGAGAACATCACGTATTTCCTACTAATTTAAATAAATAAAATTAGCGAAACCTACCGCTTTTGTGGGGTTTTCTTGGAGAAAAACTTTCAAAACGAAACAAACAAGAAAACCGAAATGTTTATCCGTTTGACGTTGAGCATGCGCAGTGTTTAACCGGATACCATGTTTTTATGGTATCCGGTTATGGATTTGGCCAGAGCCCCTCGTCGCGCTTGGTTGACCGCGCGTAAGAAGGGCTCTGGGTACGAGAATGAATGTCGTTGAGAAGTTAAGTACGTACGCGCAAGTTTAATCTAAAACACTGACCAGAAGTTGCCAACGATCTTTCTTGTTGAACAGCATCAAGAAGTTTTCCAATTGTTAATGTTTCCATGTCACCATCACACGGTAGCTCCCTGAAAAAGATCTCATGTTACAGTGATTGAATAAGAAACCAAATATGGAACAGTTTGAGTTCTATGTACCTTGGAGACACGGCGAGCATCTCAGCTAATTCATTATGGCCATGTTCCTTTGCAGTTATTGCGAAGTCTTTGTAATATTCACTACGATTCGCCAACACTTCCGCCAAGATGTCAAGCTTTTTCGACGCACTAAAAAAGTCTTCATCGCCCCCTTTTGCCATTTCGTCACAGAAATACATTACCATTGGCATATCAACGGGACCACTCTTGAACTTTTTACTG